ACATGGCCAGAAATATGCTCTGTAATTTCATTCCTCTGAAATGTGTTGAAATTTGCTTTATAGCCAAGGTACACAGCTTGAGAAAATTGATTTTTATAACTGTGTCCTGTACGCCTAAAGTGAATGTGTTCCCTAGAGGCAGGTAGGCGCATGGATGTCGCTGTAGGACTAAGATGGCGTTACCCTGTGGTGCTCTGTGTGTGTTGCTGTGAGAGGGGTGAGACCTCCCCTCACCCTCATGTGTTTGGTTCTCCTTGAGATCCGGCCATCCTTTGCTCTGTACACTTGCCAGCCATCGTGCAGGGGAACCCTGGGAGTTCAGAAGTGAATGAGGGCACGCAGGGGTGGGGGCTGGGGGCTGGGAAGCCTGGAAAGCAGGGGCTCATCCATCTAAGAATGAGATCTAGCAGAGAAAATGGCCACAGAATAGATAGATGTGTTCTGAGCCTGTCCCAGAGCAGAAAGAAAGAACAGTTGAGGGTCCCACAGGGAGTGTTTGTTAGCAAGCTAAGGGACAACCGAACTCCAGGAGAAGGTAGGGGACTGCTGTACGGGGTTCCCCTGACAGGGCAGCCTTCACTGTGGCTGGGTCGCCTCCTGGAGCTAAGGGCTAGGGCGTGGCAACCGTGCCATCTTGAAAGAGAAAGTGGATCTTGTTGGAGGCCTGAAAATCCACAAATGCAGCAACCGCCGAACAGCTGTGAGCCCCAGAACACCGGTCCCCAATTGGCGCAAACACTCGGATTCAAAGGGGCTCTTCACTCCACCACGGAAAGGTCAGATTCCCCAGGGATAGGGTGAGGTCTCTGGTCCTGGCAGGAGAGAAAGGTGTGCACTGTGGGAGCTGGAGGCCGGAGAAGTCTGTGCCTGGAGAAGTCCGTGGCTGTTGGGGCTGGCCTGATCATGAATGTGGAAGGGGGTCCTCAGAGCTGCTAATAGGGGGATCTCTAAAGAGCAACCCGTTTTGATCTGATGTGGAGGGACAGCCTGGGAATTTTTGGCATGTGCAGGCTGCTTAGACTTGCCTGCCAGCCTCTGCAAATGGGTATTGAGTGCCACAGAGAAAGAAGGCTAGAGAGGCCCGAGAGACCCGGAAGTCAACCAAGAAACACTGCCACCCAGGGGCTGAATCACAAATTGACTCTGGTGTAATAAAAAATAAAGAAATATGAGACATTAAGACACCAACTGCTTAAAAGTCAGGACTAGCTTACAACACTGAGGAGCAGTGAAACACAGGGAACTGCAATACTGTCTGAACTGGGAAACAGGTGTGCCAAATAGAACAATAGAGAAATTGAATGAACTTTATTATCACAAGTTTCAATTCATTTTATTTTATTTATTTATTTTCATTTTTTTGCATTGTTTACTTAAGAAACTATTTTTTTCTTTTTTCCTCACTTAATTTTACCTTTTTAATTATTACAGTTTTATTTGCAATCAGCATTATTACTACTATTACTACTATTTTAACTTTTTAAAAAAGTGTCATTTTATTTTCTCTTTATTTTACTTTGGGATTAGTGTTCTACATTCTATTTTTAAATTTTTTTTATTAAGGTATTATATGTGTACATATCTAACCATTGCCCCCATCCCCATCACACTCCCATACATTCCCTCAGCCCCCCAGAGTTTTGCATCGATTGGTTATGCATGCACACAAGTATCGATCTCTTATCTCCCCACCTCTCCCTAATCTTCCCACTGTAATTTGGCAGTCTGTTTGATGCTTTTCTGTCTCTGTATCTATCTTTTGGTTCATCAGTTTATAATGTTCTTCATTATCCATAAATAAATGAGATCATGTGGTGTTTCTCTTTCATTGATTGGTTTATTTCACTCAGTATGATGTTCTCCAATTCCATCCAGGTGGCTGCAAATGATAAGAATTCCTTCTTTTTTATGGAAGCATAGTATTCCATTGTGTAGAGGTACCACAGTTTTCTGATCCAATCATCTGCTGATGGGCACCTACGCTGTTTCCAAATTCTAGCTATTGTAAATTGTGCTGGGTGCATTCGCTGATTGGTGTTTCTAGTTTCTTAGGATATATTCCTAGGAGTGGGATTACTGGGTCAAATGGGAGTTCCATTTTCAATTTTTTGAGGAAACTCCACACTGTTCTCCACAGTGGCTGCACCAGCTGGTATCTTTCTAGCCTGCTCTTCCCGTCTTCTGAGTTTGGGGACCAATTAGGTTCCTCATCGGGGAGGGCCTCCCTTGCCCATCTGTCTGTGTCTAATGTCCCTGCCCGGGCCTGGGTCTGGAGCCACTTCTGAGCCTTTGTCATTACTCTCATGCGCTCCTCAGTGTTAAAGAATGCAAAAAGGAGCTGCTTGCAGTCCACCCAGGTGGGCGTCTGGGTCTGGAAAGTCATTTCTAGGAGATCCACCATGGCCTGAGGTTTTTCAGAATAACCTGGGGTGTGTTGCTTCCAATTCAGAATGTCACTTGTGGTAAAGGGCTGATAATAATAGACAGGCCTTCCTTCCTGTAAGGTTCCATCTTAACCAAGCACTTGGGCTCCCTGAATCTCCCAGAGAGGCATCTGTCATGCCGGTTGTGGCTTGGGCCCTTGATTGGCTGAATGAAAGCGACACCCAACTGGCTCTGGAGAGCCTGGTGGAGGGGAGATGGAGGGAGGCGGTGTTTCCAGACTTTCCAGACCTTCCAGGCTAGCAGGGGGGCACTTAGTGCTGCCTGTGGCTCATATGGAGGTGGTAACACTCGGGGGGGGGGGGTCCTGTAGAATAAGGGGTTGAAATTCCTCTGAGGGATCTGCTCCTGCCCTGCCTGCCTCTCCACTCCTGCTACTAAAACCTTACTCTGTCCCTTCTTGCACACACAGAACTGGACCCAAGGCAGCAAGGTCTGAGCAATTTCTAACCAGCTGTCTATGTAGGGAAACTGATCTGGGTGCCCAGGGTCTCCTGTGACTACATTCCACACCACCCTGACCAATCCTTCCTCTAAAGAGCCTTCCAAGGGCCAGCCAACCCCGAAGGCTGGCCATTCCACTTCACAGAATTTCCTCAGTGTTTCAGAATTCATTTTAATTTCATAATCTCCATCAAATCTCTTTTTAAAATGTTTCAACATGCAATGGAGAACAGTGGGTTAACTCTGTCCCGACCCCATGATGATCGGTGGCGAAAGACAGACAAGGGAGGGGGTGACCTGTTTTCACAGATCCTTACTCAAGTGCCTGCCTGGCTGCGTCCCTTAGGAGCTTAGATTCGTCTTAGCTAAGGTGCACCCGTATAAACCCCGGGCCTGGTCACCTCCATGTGGGGGTGAGTCACCGTTATGCCATATGACGAATCGCGGAACCGCAGGTTGGGGCCCACTCGGACTCCGTAACCAAGGTCCTGGAGCCACACAAAGGATAAGAGAGGGCAGGCCCTCTCCCTCCACACTCACACACTTTCACCAGACATTCACTCAGAGTTTAAACAACAATCTACCCAATTCCTCATTAATTTGCCTGAGGAAGTTCTATGGCCTCTGGGGTGATCAAGCTCCCCCTTCCACTCATTCGAGTGGGCTGAACTGACAGGGCCCCTACCTTACTGATTCTGTCGACAGGTCCAGAAGTGTCTGTCTGCTCTCTCCAAATGCTGGTTGGGTCCTGGGCTGAGATCAGGGAGTGGCCAAAGACCCCCGGTTTAATTCTGCTAAATCAGCAGAGCGGCGCCTCCCAGAGGCCAGTCCACTCACCAGAGGCTAAAAGACCGGGGTTGGTTTTCCTGGCCAATGCACCAAATTATATTACAGAGTTCCCGAACAATCAAACAATGCAGGAGGAGAGTTTGGAGAGACTTATTTTATTCATCACGCGATGGGTCCAGAGAAAATGAATTCAAATTCTAAGCAAGGCTACAAGCAGAACTTCCCTTTTTATTAAAGAACCAGCCCTATGTGCATTTAATGGTTATCTTGATGCTAGCCCTGAAAACAATACAGTTCTATCCAATTAAAAAATGCACCTGGCATGGTATTGAGATTATGAGCATATCTAGTCTCTGGCCTACAAGGTCATACAGCTAAGTTTATCTTCATCATTATTCAAACAGGCTAAAGCAGACTAGAAAGCAAACATTTTTAAAAACAGCAGGTTTTTTTTTTTTTTTTTTTTTTTTTTTTTTTTTTACAAAATAGGGGTTTTCCTTCTCATAACTGCTTTAATAAATGGGTTTTATCACAACACAACCAGGGTCTCTCGTTTATATGAGAAGACAAGAGCTGAGGAAGGAAGGGCCCATCCCTGCCCGCTCACGACTCCTGCCCTCTCCCAGGCTCTGGGGCTGCGGTGACTCCCTGTGGCAAGGGGCCTCTGTGTACACAACGCCTGGAGAAAACAGCTCTCCTCTAGCAGGTGTGGCTGTGAGGAGCATTGCTGTCAGCAGGGAGGGGCCTGGAGAGCCACCCATTCCCTCTCACTTCCCCCTCTCTCAGGGCTGTGGCACACATACGGGAAACTATTAGCTAGGGACCTCTGTTCTGAGCTTTAGACCCAACCACCTACTGGACATCTCTGCTGAGCTGTGTCTTGGGCACCTCAAGCTCAGAGCATCCCAGTCTCGTCCCCCTCCAGGGACTCACTCTTCTCCAGCATCTCTGGGTTTCTGCGAGTGTCCACCTAACTCCCTGCTGCCAGGAACCAATTCCAGCATGTAATAATTACAAGAGTTTCACCAGAAGGCTGGTGAAGCTTGGGCAGCTCAACAAGGGTGAGCCACATATGTAGCTTACCTGGTGAAAATGGCTAAATGGCACTTCCCCCAAACCTGAATAGGATTGTTAACTGCCAGACAACTCAGGGCGTTTTATTGCCTCTTGTTGGCCAAACACCCGAACAGCTGTTGGCTAGTCCCCAAACTGACAAAACCCTTTGAAACCTTACCCTTTGAAGTGCATATCTCCACCTTGCCTTAGGACAAATTGTGTTAAATAAATAGCACGGGGTCCTTAGAAATTGGAATATCAAAAGGTACTTCTTTAAATCAGGCTGAAAAAAGAGTGCCATGGTCATCTTTAATGTGGTTTCTTGTTCAAATTAAAATCTTAATTTATATTTGGAATCTAAAATCTGTAATAAGAAATGAAATCCCACTACTGAAACCACCTCTAGTGTGGAGAAATTCAAAGGGCAGAGCTATAAGCTCTCCTGCAGAAAGATTACTTAAAGTTTTATTTAAAAATTACCGAAGAACATCTTATGATAACCAGATTTTGGCAAGGATAAGCTTAAGTGCTAGTTATTACTTCGTAAAGAGAAAAAAGAAAAAAAAAAAAAGATCTGTCTTTATCTATTTAGCATGAAAAGACACGCAGCCAGAAAGTTACTGAAAACTTCCCCCAAAGCAAGCAGGGTGTGGGGAAGGGAGACAGGAGGCAAGCCAATATGGAGCCCACCCTCCCAGTACGCTGATTTAGAGTCTCCTTTCTCGCCATAAAAATTTAGAAACGCGTCTGGGATTTCTGTGCTCACGGGGAGAGAAGCCTGGCTTAAAACAAAATGTGTGCAACTGTCCACTTTTTGGACGTTTAGAGTTTTGAGCTTGACTCTCTGCCAAAGCCACAGAAATGAAAAACTCAAGACAGTTTTTTCCTGCAAAACGAAAGACTGCGAATTTGACCCAGGAAAAAACAGGATTGGCAATTCCATAATAATTAAAATGCTAATGAAGCATGTTAAAACGACTATAAGACCTCCGAGAAAATCAGTAAATTGTCTGTTACAAAAATTAGCCCAAGTAAAGGCCTTAAAGTAATTAGAATTGGATTTGAATCTCAAAAATTGTTGAAAAATATATTATAAAGATCTAAGTAGCCCAGATAAAGAGTGGCTGCACCCTTTGCTAATGGAGGAAGGGGATGAGGGAGCAGGGCCCAAAGAAACCCCTGCCGGTGTCACTGGGCCCTGGCTGGCCCAGGCCTCCTCCACTCCTGATCTCGGAGCTTCGTCCGCTGGACTTTTCCAGACACGGTTTTGGGCAGGTCCAAGACAAACTCCACCTGTTAGGACAGATCGGTCAGGGCTGGCCATCCATGACTCCGCAGGTTGGCTTTTTGGAGGAATTGCTAAGTGAGGGGAAGTTCCGGGGCGGGAGGCTCCAGGTGAGTGACTGCTGAGCTAGGAAAACTCCCAGGACATACGAAGGTAAAGCAAGAAGGTTCAGAAAGTGAGGTGAATAGGACCTAAGAGTGAGCTGACTGGCCTCTGACGAACTGGGGGCAGGGAGAGCAGTGCAGGGGACTGACCCCTCACAGGAGACAGACACCTGAGCCCTGACATCAGACTCTCTGTGCCCCCGTCTCTCCCAGACCTTCTACCTGGCTTTGATGGAGGCTTTCCTGAAACTCATCCTTCCCGCCCAGTCACCTGGAATCACAGCCTGTGGCGCTGTGAGGATGAGTGCAGGCTGAGCTCCTGGCAGGGCCAAGCCCACGGAGTTAGCCCTGCGTCTGGATCTGGACTACAAACAGGCAGCTGAAGTTAGGGAGCCTGGTTTTCAATGTCATCTCCATCATTTGCTCTGGTGTGTCCTCAGCAGAACTCAAAGCCTCTCCAACTCCACCTTTCTCACCCGGGAAGGAATGCTCGACGTTCAGGACCCTCCGTCTCTAGTTCTCCTGAACCCCAGGGTGTGGGCGGGGAAGAGAACTCACCGCTGGTCTAGAAGTCAGATGGTTTTGGGTTTAAGGAAAGTAATAATAGGGACACTGGTACGGGAAAAGTATCCTTTTAGCAGCTGACTTGCCATGAGGCAAGACTAACTTTGTAAAGGAAAGAATTTGTTAAATCACAGTTAGATAAAGCTGGGGGTTGGCAAGGGCAAAATCCAGCCCTTCTGTTTTTGTAAATAAAGTTTTATTGAAACAACAGCCACACGTGTTTATTTTAGTTGTGGCTGGCTGCTTTCTTGCTACAGGGCAGCATTGAGTAGTTCCCACAAAGAGTGTCTGACCTAAAACAGGACCATTTGGTTAGAGGTGTCAGTGGAGAGTAGAAGGAGACTCAGGAGGCTGCCAGCGAGGAAGAAAGCGATGTGTGTGTCAGGAAGAAGGGAGAGGAGCGCTGGTGTGTGTGTGTGTGTGTGTGTGTGTGTGAGGGGGCGGGTGCTGGGAGGAGGAAGGTGTGGGAAGAACCATTGTGGGCATTCTAAGGGGACAGTACACTGCTACCCTGTATGACCCGACCTCTCCACTGGATCTTCAGAAATATTCAGCTACAAGTCAAAATTCATAATATGCTTGGTGTGGTCCGATTCCGAGCCGCTTTTAAAATACTTATTAAATTCTGGCTAAGGTACCCTACAAACATTAGCTGTTCTTCTTAACAACTTGTGGAGGGGTGACACCATTATCCCCATTTTACAGGGAGGAAAAGTGAGGCACAGAGAGACTGCTGAGTGAGTAGTGGAGGTGAATGTAAGTTTGTGTGGTGGACTCTGAGGTACCACCCAGGTCCCTGCAGGAATGGAGGACTCACTTTCCCATTGCCAGGCCCCCCCCCCCGCCCTTCCCCTCCCAGGGCCCCGCCCCGCCCCGGCCCCGCCCCGCCCCAGGCAGCTGCATCCAGGCTGACCTACGGGGGCTGTAAGGCCCTTCTCCAGCTGCTGCTCCGGAAACTGAGAGGGCGTCTTAGCTTCAAGACTCCCAGGGGCTGGCTGAGCCACTGAGCCACATCACAGTGCAACTCTACCTTCAGCCATCCCTTCCCCTGCCTTCCCAAGAGCACCCCAAAGACTCCCTCCAAACCTCTGACTGTCAGACCCCGAGTCTGCCTCTCAGAGACCCCGCCAGGACAGCTTGTGTGTGCGGACCAGTTGTTAGAGGGCACCTGGTTACATAGGATCTGGGGGCTTCGTGGGGCTGCTCTCACCTTCCGCCCAGACTCCAAAGAGGAGAAATTAAACCCTTCCCTGGGGCAAACTCTTCTGTGCTCACCTCTGCCTCGGCTCCCTGCCCCGTGAAAGCAGACACAGTGGAGTGTATGCTTTTTGCCTTTTCTGACGACGGCTCTTCCATTTACCGCGGGAGCCACCCTCCTTCACTGGTCCCTGACCTGGGTAGGGCAGCCCTTTCTCCCATCATCCTGCATGCCCTCTAGGGGTGACCATGTGACCCATAGCTGGCCAATCAGAGTGTTTCACCCCTGGTTACAGGGATTGATTTAGCAGTGGACTCTGACCGAAAATGTTCCAATGAGAATCAATGTGCAGGCTGGTCCTTTGGGGACCACCGGGATTTGCACAGCTCTGGAAGAGTGTGTGGAGCTGCTGAGAGCACTTCCAGGAAGAAGGCCAATACCGAAAGGAGAGCCGGGGCAAGAGCCACCCCTGACCCCCCTTGCCTGCTGTTCCCAGCGTGTCTGAGCACTCGCCCTTGCACTCATCAGTGTGTGAGAAACTTCAAGTCAGGTTTCTGCTGCTCGCAGCCCAGAGAACCCGAGTAACAGAGCGAGAGCTCGGTGCCGAGAGGGGCTGTGGCCGGTGTGGCGGGAACTGTGCCAGAGCCTCCGGTGCCAATCAGGGTGAGCTGATGCGAGGCTGCCCTCCGGCACCGAGAATGCTTCTGGATGGGTTGGGGGACTTTCTCAGTCACAGCCAGGCAGGACTTTGGAATAAAGTCCTGGCCCCGGCCAGAAGGGGACAAGAGAGAGGCCGTCTCTCCTCAGGCTTGGGGACAGCCCTCACCTTCCTCGGGTACTTGTGCGGGGCGGTCACCGACTTCACGTGCTGCTGCAGCTCCCGGGTGAGCTGCTCCGGGTCGCAGGACACAAACTGCGGCGCCAGCACCACAAAGGCCTTCACCACCTGCGGCGCGGGCGAGGGCGAGAGGGTCAGACGCGTGGGCACTCCGGGGTAGCACAGTCAGCGTTAGGACTCCTCCTCAGCCACTGATCCGTGTCCTCTCCACTGTGCCTCCAGGGGCTTGGGGCCAAGAAAAGGGAGACACTGGGGTAATAATGGCCAAAGTCCAATCTCTCAAATGGCTTACTGGGTGGGCAGTAAGGACTGCAGCCTGAGACCTGCTCACCTCACATCCCAGAGGCAACAGAGGCAGGAAGAGGCTGGCTAAGCGAAGAGAAGACAGTACAGGCTGTGGCCACAGACCCGGAGCTCTGTGCACCCCACGCCACCACGTGCACAGCTGTGACATGGAGGTCTGACTGTCTTCCTTAATGCGTGGGGACTACACGGAAATCATACGCAGCCTCCCAGGCCCGAGGCTTCGCTCCGTCCCGGCACAGAGTTTTCCCAGTAGAGGACCCTCTTTGGGCCCCATTTGCCTAGTGGCTGCTCTGGTTTCCATGGTGACATGCCCCATACCTGCCAGAGTTATGAGTGTCCACATGCACCTGCAGAGATGCAGCTGAACGCTGACCCACACCTCTGCACCTTACTGCCTCTCCACACACCAGGCTCCTGCAGACCCCTCTGGACCTTTGCTGTAGCCTTCATTATTGTGAGGGTCTTCCATCTCCCCACAGCCCCACTGCAACCCATGGCGTGGGGCTCCATCTCTTGGATCAAATGCCTCCTCAGTTCTTTCGGTCAGGGGTCAGTTCTGATTCAAGTGCCAACAACAGCAGACCTTCTGAGGTGCTTGCTATGTGACAGATCTCATTGCAAGAATCTTGTAAATATTAACACTTTACTCATCAAGCTATCCCTCATCTTACAGGTGGGAAACTGAGGCTCAGAGAGGCTAAGCAACTTCTCCCAGATCACACAGCAAGTACACAGGAGGGCCAAGATGTTGGCTCAGGCTGTCCAGTGGCCAGAGAACACTCTCTTAGCCATCATACGTTATGCCCTGGTTGCCCACGTCTGCACCCAGCCTGCTGCCCCCATCACCTCTCCTCGGACGGGGTCTGGGCTGCTGATGACAGCCGTCTCTGCCACAGCGGGATGCTCCATGAGGGCGTCTTCCACCTCCCCGGGCCCGATCCGGTACCTGGAAAGGAACCACCTGTCAGAGGAGACGGGCACCCCTCTGGGCCGGGCCCAGGTCTGGAACCGTCAGAACAAGGACCCGGATCCCACTCCCCACCCGGAACAGCTCACCCGCTGGAGTTGATGATGTCGTCTGCCCGCCCCACGAACTGGAAATAGCCGTCTTGGTCCTTGATGGCGCGGTCTCCCATGAGCCAGAAATCCCCCCGGATGTTGGCCGCTGTCTTCTCAGGGTTGTCCTGGAGCCGCAGAAAGACAGCGTGTGCTGCAGAGCCTGCGCCCCAGCCCGGGCCGGCGGCATGAGCAGCCGAGCAGGCACAAGGCGAACCCTGCGCTGGCAGGCTGCCCGAGCGGCCCCCCCCTCCCCCCCGGGAGCTCGCGTCCCCTTTGGATCACTTATCCTCCAGGTGCCCCTGCCCCGCCCGAGGCCAAGGGAACGTGCACGCCTCCATGACCCGTGCCCAGGGCGTCCCTGCCTGGGCCACCTTCCCTTCGAGTCAGCCTGACTCCGGCTCCGTTTCAGGCACCATCTAAGGGAGCCAAGGTTGACGGGATACTCTCATGCTCCTTTGCTAGATTTGAAAATTCCAGAAATATAACAGCTGAGGCCGGTGTTGCTGACCAGGAAGAAGGCTTGGGGTTCACCCCTTTAGCATCTGGGTGTTTGTATACGAGTAGGCGTGTGGGCACAGATGGCCATTCAGTCTCTGGTTCAGAGACGGCAGAGGGCATGCTCGGCTCCGGTCTCCACGTGGAGAACACAGGCGTGTACTGTGGTGTCCAAAGCCCATAGCCATTCCTGACGGCAGAGCAGAGACTGAGGCCAAACCCTGACCCCAGGCCGACCCTTACTCCAGCACCTTCACCTGCCGGCCCCCTCTCCGGGCTCCCTCTCCTCATCTGGACCTCACGTGGGTGCTAGTGAGGATCTCAGTCTTCTCTCTTCGCGCACACTCACCAGCGCTGTCTAAGCCTTTCCAGAACCATGGCAATGCTACTAGGTGCTGCAATTCACAGTCCACAGGTTTGGAAACCGAGGCTGAGCATCAGCCACTTCCTCACACAGGCAAGGGGGGAGCAGAGCTTTGAACTTAAGCACTTTGGCTCCAGGGAGTTCCTAAGGGCCTCGAGGGCTAATGAGTGTGGTGTCTGCAAGGTGTGCGAGGGCGGTGTGCCACTCGGCAAGCACACACGGAGTGGCAGCAGCTATACCACAGATTTCCTGATTGGCTAAGGCTCAGGCAGGCCTCTCTCGCCCATGGCTCAGCAGCGGCAGCTCGCATGCGCCTGTGACCTCTGGTCTCAGCGCCCTCACCTCTAAAGCAAGGCGGCGGACTGAGGACACCTGTATCTAATGTTCCAAGGTCTGAGGACAGGAAAACCCCAGCTCTGTGGTGAGTCTCAGGGTGATATGCTTATGAGGCTTGACAGAGGACCGTGTAAGAGAGGACTGTATAACAGAGGATCGTGTGGCAGAGGATCCGTGTGGCAGGGATCCTGTGGCAGAGTATCGTGTGACAGAGGACTGTGTGACAGAGGATCTGTGTGACAGAGGATCCGTGTGGCTGAGGATCGTGTGGCATAGGATCTGTGTGACAGTGGATCCGTGTGACAGAGGATTCGTGTGGCAGAGGATCGTGTGACAGAGGATCCGTGTGACAGAGGATCCGTGTGACAGAGGATCGTGTGGCATAGGATCTGTGTGACAGTGGATCCGTGTGATAGAGGACCCGTGTGACAGAGGATCGTGTGACAGAGGATCCGTGTGACAGAGGATCGTGTGGCATAGGATCCGTGTGACAGCGGATCCGTGTGACAGAGGACCGTGTGGCAGAGGATCTGTGTGACAGAGGATCGTGTGAAGGAGGACCGTGTGACGGAGGATCGTGTGGCGGAGGATCCGTGTTGCAGAGGATCCGTGTTGCAGAGGACCCTGTGACAGAGGATCGTGTGGCAGAGGATCATGTGGCAGAGGATCCGTGTGGCTGAGGATCGTGTGAAGGAGGACCGTGTGACGGAGGATCCATGTGACAGAGGATCATGTGACAGAGGATCCGTGTGACAGAGGATCCGTGTGACAGAGGACAGTGTGGCAGAGGATCATGTGGCAGAGGATCCGTGTGGCAGAGGATCATGTGGCAGAGGATCCGTGTGACAGAGGATCCGTGTTGCAGAGGATCGGTGTTGCAGAGGATCCGTGTTGCAGAGGACCCTGTGACAGAGGACTGTGTGGCAGAGGATCCGTGTGACAGGATTGTGTGACAGAGGATCGTGTGATAGAGGACCGTGTGACAGAGGATCCATGTGGCAGAGGATCGTGTGAAGGAGGACCATATGACAGAGGATCGTGTGGCAGAGGATCGTGTGGCAGAGGATCCTTGTGAAAGAGGACCGTGTGACAGAGGATCCGTGTGACAGAGGATCCATGTGAAGGAGGATCCGTGTGACAGAGGATCCGTGTGTCAGAGGACCGTGTGGCAGAGGTTCCGTGTGGCTGAGGATTGTGTGGCAGAGGACCGTGTGACAGAGGATCTGTGTGACAGAGGATCCGTGTGACAGAGGACGGTGTGACAGAGGATCGTGTGACAGAGGATCCGTGTGACAGAGGATCCGTGTGACAGAGGACCGTGTGACAGAGGATCCGTGTGACAGAGGACGGTGTGACAGAGGATCTGTGTGACAGAGGATCTGTGTGACAGAGGATCTGTGTGACAGAGGATCCGTGTGACAGAGGATCTGTGTGACAGAGGATCCGTGTGACAGAGGATCATGTGGCAGAGGATCGTGTGATAGAGGACCGTGTGACAGAGGATCCGTGTGACAGAGGACCGTGTGAAGGAGGACCCTGTGACAGAGGACCGTGTGACAGAGGATCCGTGTGACATAGGATCTGTGTGAAGGAGGATCCGTGTGACAGAGGACCGTGTGACAGAGGATCCGTGTGTCAGAGGATCTGTGTGACAGAGGACCGTGTGACGGAGGATCGTGTGATGGAGAATCGTGTGGCTGAGGATCGTGTGGCAGAGGATCCGTGTTGCAGAGGATCTGTGTGACGGAGGATCGTGTGGCAGAGGACCGTGTGACAGAGGACGGTGTGACAGAGGATCCGTTTGACAGGATTGTGTGACAGAGGACCGTGTGGCAGAGGATCCATGTCACAGAGGAGGGGATGAGGCTTGGTGCAGGGCTCTCGGGAGAGTCTGGACTGTGGCATGTGGCTCATGGCAGAGGCATTCTGCCATGTGGAGCTCCTGTGCATGGAGAAGGCCGTCCTCCTGATGCGGGCAGTGTCAGGCTCAGGACGGCAGCGTGCAGGGCCTTCTTTCTTGGCGAGCACCCTTCCTAGGCCCTGGGCACCCTGGCCATTGCCTTTGGGAGTCCACAGCTCCGGGACTGCCCTCCTCCCTCCCAGAGTCTGCACTCCCATCTGGGCCGCGTTACCACGTAGCCGGAGAAGATGCCGATGGGCCGGTGGGGCTTGATCCTGATGGCCAGGTCGCCCTCCACGCCTGGCGGCAGGACGCGGCCCTGGTCGTCGATGACCTGTGGAGGGAGCAGGCGGGGTGAGCCAGGCCGGGCTGGCAGCAGCGGAGAGCCGGCTGGGCACCCGGAGCCCTCGGCTCCAGTGGTGGCCGAGCACCCAGTCCGGACCTGGGGAACCAGGCGCGTGGAGCCAGGTCTTGAACCTGCCCACCTGGCGGGGGTCAGGGAAGCCCCATGGAGCTGGGGCCAGAGGATCTGGGACCACCCGGTTGCAGGAGCTCAGGAGGAGAGCAGCCGCCCCGTTGCCTTCAAGGCCCGGGAACTTGGGCACCAGACACATCAAAAGGCACCCTGACTGGCCGCCCAGCACGTGGTCTCTAGGCAACAAGCCCTGCCCAGAGCCTGCATCTGCAGATGGAGGGGGCACGCTGACGTCACAGACTGCTGCGGGGTGGTGGTGGAGGGGTTATTGGGGAAAACACTCGCTGGATGGCCCGAGGGAAGTTGCCTGGAAGAGGGCGCACCTTGCACCCCACACCTGCAGGGCCCTGTGCGGCCACGGCCACGGCCACGGCCATGGCCATGGCCATGGCCACACAAGTCCTATTACATGGGATGCATCTAAGAAACTGGGTTCTGGGACTGGATCCCAGCCCACAGCTGATGAGGTGCTGTCTGTGCACCAGGCGTCTGGGCCTCCTCCGAGCACCAGGACCCACCCTCCGCAGCAGCCCTGCCACTCAGCCCTCCACCAGGCACCCTGGGCAGCTCAGCAGGAACAGCAGTGGCTGGGACGTGGTTTTTAAAAGGCACACCTATACTAATGAGAGGGTGATATGCTAATTAGGCCAGATGTCTTCTGGACGTCCTTCCTGACAAACCCGCAGAGGAAAGCCAGCCCCCCGCTGGAGGGGTGCCGGAGGGAGGGAGAGGAGTAGGTGTGAAGGGAGGGAGGGGGGCGGGTTTGGAGGGAGGGAGGGGAGCGGGTTTGGAGGGAGGGAGAAAGGGAGCAGGTGCGGAGGGACGGAGGGGAGCCGGTGCTGGAGGGAGGGAGAAAGGGAGCAGGTGTGGAGGGAGGGAGGAGAGCGGGTGCGGAGGGAGGGAGAAAGGGAGCAGGTGCGGAGGGAGGGAGGGGAGCGGGTGCGGAGGGAGGGAGGGGAGCGGGTGCGGAGGGAGGGAGGGGAGCGGGTGCGGAGGGAGGGAGGGGAGCGGGTTTGGAGGGAGGGAGAAGGGGAGCAGGTGCGGAGGGAGGGGAGCGGGTGCGGAGGGAGAGGAGTAGGTGTGAAGGGAGGGAGGGGGCGGGTTTGGAGGGAGGGAGGGGAGCGGGTTTGGAGGGAGGGAGAAGGGGAGCAGGTGCGGAGGGAGGGAGGGGAGCGGGTGCGGAGGGAGGGAGGGGAGCGGGTGTGGAGGGAGGGAGGGGAGCGGGTGCGGAGGGAGGAAGGGGAGCGGGTGCGGAGGGAGGGAGGGGAGCGGGTGCGGAGGGAGGGAGGGGAGCGGGTGCGGAGGGAGGGGAGCGGGTGCAGAGAGAGGGAGGGGAGCGGGTGCGGAGGGAGGGCGGGGAGCGGGAAACAAAGGAGCGCTCCGGCATAAATCTCCATGCATTGCCTGCTAGTGCTTACACAACCAGGGTTCCCTGTGCTGTGAGAACATTCACACACACACACACACACACACCCCCCAACACTGACTCTCCAGCACCGCCCTCGGTGCAGAACGGAAACATATGGCTCCGATGCCCCCAGGCCCAGCGGACCTGCACGTCGTAGTGGGGCACAGCGGTCCCCAGGTGGCCCGGCTTCACTGCCATGGTCTTGGACACTCTGCAGGTGAGGCCCTGTGGGAAGCAGCAGACAGACGGCAACCTCAGGAGGGTCATAGGTCACAGCACAGAAGAAAACTAAAGACAAAGAACCCTCAGCTGAGCAGTCCTCACCCAGTGGAAAGACAATTTCCTTCTGCCTCAGCTGCTCTCTCCTCCCCTGCTCTACCTCAGTGTTTTCCAACCTTCTCTCATGATGAGAATCACCTGGTGGAGTTGTTAAAACACAGATTCCCGGATCCCAACTAAAAAGTGCTAAACTAGAATTTTTGGGAACATATAGGTAAAATTGTATACTTAACTAGTGCTCTAAGACAGATTTTATATACAGAGCACTAAGTTAGGTATGCAATTTTACCTATATGTTCTCAAAAATTCTAGTTTAGCACTTCTTAGTTGGGATTCAGGAATCTGTTTTAACAACTCCACCAGGTGATTCTCATCATGAGAGAAGGTTGGGAAACACTGCTCTCCCCTTCCTGCTCTCCCCTTCCTGCTCTCCCCTCCCTGCTCTCTCCACTCCCCTGCTCTCCCCTTCCTGCTCTCTCCCCTCCCTGCTCTCCCCTCCCCTGCTCTCTCCCCTCCCCTGCCCTCCCCTCCCCTGCTCTCCCCTCCCTGCTCTCCCCTTCCTGCTCTCTCCCCTCCCCGCTCTCCCCCCTCCTCTGCTGTCCTGTCTCCACTGCCCGCCCCCCCCCCCCCCAGTGCTCCCTCCACTCTCAGTGCCCACCGCAGGGCGCCCATGGCACTGAGGGCAGCGCCCAGGAGGGTGGCTGTATGCTCATTGTCAAGTGGGACGACGGGGAGGGGGTAGGGGGCGGGGGCAGCTCCTGGCCCCGGGCGGCAGCGGGCGGTACCGTCTCCGTCTGGCCGTAGAACTCGCGGATGTCCAGGCCTGTGTGTGCCCGCCAGCTGGCCAGCGTGCCCGGGTGCAGGGCCTCCCCGCCGCTGAAGCAGCCCTGCAGGTGCGGGAACCGGAACCTGAGGGGAGAGGGGAGAGGGGAGAGGCAGTGTCCCCACAGGCCAGAGCTGGGTGCTGGCCGTGGGGCAGGCAGGGGAGCGCGGGGAGGGTCACCTGGACAGGTCCTGCTGCACCAGCATGCGGTACACCAGCGGGGCGCCCGCCAAGCTGCTGACTGGGTAGCTGGACAAAACCTGCGGAAGACAGCCAGGTGAGACCTCTCCCGTGGGCGTGGCTGGGTCTGCGTTTCAGTCCAGCTTACTGGTGTGTCTGCTCCAGGCCAATGAGCCCGGTTCTCATGTCCCCTCACACCGACCGAGCAGAGGAACAAGCTCCGATGGCAGAGAGAAAGCTGGTGACTGTGCACTTTTGTCCGGTCGAGCTGCTTGGTCCTGCCGCTGCAATGACTGTCCTCACACCCACAGCTGCAGGCCGTGGAGCGGCCGCTGCGGCTGCCTGGCTCAGGGCCAGCGGCTGGACCTCCCGCCCAGCTCATGATGGGGGGCTGGGGGGGGGGGAGGAAGGGGGCCTCAGGGGAAAGGCCTGTGACTAGTCAGGAGCTCCTACAGCTCAGCTGGTGCTGAGCCAGACCCAAGCCAGCGCTGCTCTGCTCATAAACCACGCATGCGTGATCACCCGGCCAGAGGGAAAGCTGTGGCTCAGAGGCCGCGGCACACAGCCGGCGGAGCGGGCAGCATTGGCCACGCCACCTATGTCTGCACAGAGCTCACAGGAGAAGGACTGAGGCAAAAGCATAGAAAATGATTAGCATCAGCGAATCATGCCTTTATTTCCTCCAGGCACTCTGTTTTAAACCTCACCCAAGGATACATATTTCATTGTTCTTGGTGGCGAGCAGAGGGACGGAGAGGGAGAAACGCTGGTTGGTTGTACGCATGCCCCGCTGGGGATTGTATGCACCGGCAGAGGTGGAGCTGTGCCCGGGTATGTGTCCTGACTGACGGGAACCCGACCCGCGCCCTCAGTGCACAGGACGGCGTTCTAATGCCACGGGTGGCTCTTTGGCCCTTGAGTTCTTAGCCAAGGCCAGCTTAGGAGTGCCCTAACTAAGGTAATAACAATGTGCCTGCCTATATAGTTTATGTTTAAAAATGTGGCTCTCCAAAGAAATGTCAGTTGTTGTCCTGTTGGTGTTTGGCTCTGCAGATGGATGAGTTTGCCGACCACGACTCACACCAGCAGAGCAGCGCCAGTGGGCATCCTCCAGACAGCTGCTGAGCTGTCCGAGCCTCGGGGGCCATCTCCCTGCACCACCTCGGAGTGGCCCTCACTGCCGCGCCCTCCCCCGTGGTGTCCCGCCCCAAGCCCGGTCTCCTTGCCAGCCGGCTCCCAGGAAAACCGTGCCTCTTCGCGGAAGGCAGAGCACATGGTTTGTGGAAGGAGGCAGAGCGAGAGTTTGATTAGACGGGAAAGCAACAGAATCATTTGAGTAGAATCCCCTGAGAGAATCCAGGCCACGCCTGGCCGGTGGTGGACACACAGGAGTGGGGGTGACTCTGGACTCCCGGAGCCCCTGGGCAGAGTGCAGCCCTCCTCCTCACAGAGCCCCCGACCGGGTGCCCTGCAGAGCAGCCCCTCCCGCCTCCTGCCAACAGCTGCAGGCGGGGCCAGTGCTGCCTGGCGAGGCCTGGTGAACCGGACTCTTCCAACCCGCCCCCCCCACCCCCCCGGCGGGACCACCGCACTTCCACCGAGGGGGGGAGAGGGTGAGGGGAACGCACACGGGGGAGAGAGGGTGAGGGACCGCACACGGGGGAGAGAGGGTGAGGGACTGCACACGGGGGAGAGAGGGTGACGGACCGCACATGGGCAGTTGGGGGGGGGGGGGAGAGGGTGACTGACCGCACACGGTGTGGGCGGTAGAGACTGCAGTCCCCTGAGCACGTGGTGTGTGGGCCTCACCTGCAGGATGACCAGGGGGTCGAACCTGGGCAGCAGGTGGACGAACACGCAGGCACCCGCTGTCCAGGGCTCCAGGAAGGAACACAGCATGTTCAGGATCCAGGCCGTGTCCGTGATGGTCCAGACCAGGTCCGAGGCCTGCAGGCCCATCCACAGGCTGAGGAGAGAGGAACACACGTGCACACGACATGGGGCTGGGGAGCGGGGCAGGTGTGTGCCTGCCTCGTGGGAGGGTGTCTGAGCAGAAGCGGACGGAGGAGAGTTGTCTGTCTGCACTGTGCTCCCAGGAGGAGGGTGTTTGAGGGTGTGACCCGCTGAGGTCCCTGAGCGGAGGCCTGGTGTGGCTCTCACTGGACGCAGAGCGCAGTGGCCGGCCGCGGCCACAGGTCTGCTCAGAGCTCCTCGCACACGCGGTGGTCGCTCCGGCCGGAGCCACCAAGCTGGCCTTTGTGCCCCCCGAGTACCGCCACGGCCTAAGCCTGCCCTCTCTCCTGGGACCAGAGTGAAAGGCGCTGGGCCGGGGACAAGCCAGCGGGTGGCCTGGCACGGAGCGCCCCCGGTGGAGCCCGGTCCTGTCGGTGGGAAGGAGGCTCTGCTGTTACTGCCCAAAGAGAACTGGGTCACCGCCACCAGGACCAGTGTGGGGCGGGTGAGCGTTCACATCTCAGACACTCGGAGTGGCTCGGCCTCCACACCATAGAAACCGCGCGTGCTGTGGCTCCTCTAGCTCATTCCCTTAATAATGAGGCTTCCTGGCGTCTGCGAGGGCCATGCGGTGTCTGAGCGTCTCCGGGCCGGCCGCCGGGCGGCCTGGGAGCCCTGCCCACCACGCGGGGAAGGGAGGTGGGCGTCTCCAGTGCTGGCATCGGAGGCTGTTCCCTACGTTAACCCGATGGAGAATCCTGGAAGGTCGTCTGCTGCTGACAAGGGCGTTAGAGCGAGCCACCAGCACCTCACAGGCGAGGCGGCTGAGTCTGCCACGCTGTGTGCCCAGCCGTCAGCGGCAGCGCAGGCTCCGGGCCGGCGCCTGGCGCTCTGTGGTCAGGCCGTTGGCCAGGCCCAGCCCCCCTCCTTTCCGAGGCCCCAGGCAGCCGCGGGCACTGGGCGGAGTCAGACCGCAGGGGTCTCTGCAGCGAGGGGAGGGTCTGCTTACCCAGCATCCATCTTGGCCTTGATGCCCAGGCTGGCATGGGAGTGCTCTGCCATCTTGGGGAGCCCAGTGCTCCCGCTGGTGAAGTAGATGGCCGCCGCCTCCTGGCCCGCCGTCTCCACGCAGTGGTGCGCGGGGGCCGCCCCTCTGCAGGGACAGGGCCCTCAGGCTGCCGCCCAGGGTCCAGGAGGCCCCCCTCCCGCTGGCCGCAGGGAGGGAGGCTTCCCGGCCTGGGCTCAGGAGAGAGGAACAGCACACAGGGAGCTGACTCAGTCATGCTCCTCCACTTGCTGTTGGGATCTCTGACATGGCACCAGGTGGGGTGCCAGCCAGTCCCTCTAAGCATTGCACTCCTAGACCCCTCCTCCAGGGCCCCGATCTCGAGTCCAGTGCCCTGGCCGCTGTTGGAACACGGATCACCAGAAGGAAGCGCTCGGCCCCCCAGGCTGTCCTGGGCTCTGTGTCTCTGCGTCCCCGGGAGGGATTGCAGACACATGACGGGAAGCGGGTTGGCCCCCAGTGCTGCCCTGGCTGCAGCAGTCAGGCCGAGGAGTGGGAGGAGGAGGGGAGGCAGGGAGGAGAGGCCAGAAACCGGGGTGCCAGCCATCACTTGTGTGTGACCTCAGAGGCTCCGGCCGTGCCCTGGTCCTTCCACTGACCAGGCTGCTGTGTCTTGCCCACTTGGTGTTGCTGGTGGGGCCCGGGGCTCACTGTGGCCCCAGCTGGACCCGCAGCTACATGCATGCACACGTGTGGCCCGGGTGTGTGTGTGTCCCCTCAGGGCAGTGCTCTCCCGGTGGAGCCCGGTGCAGCCGGTCCTCCCATGAGAATCTGAGCCCAGCATGTGTCCCCGAAGGCCGCTCCCGCCCTGACGCTGGCATGACCCGCCCCCTCACCGGTCCCCATGCTCCTCCTGACCTCCCGACCTCCCGGCCACGCGCTGGGCTTGTTCAGGCCCCTGCGGGGAGACACTCACTGTAGCAGTGGCTGGAAGTGCAGCCAGCCCTCCCGGCCGTGCTCAGACACCAGCAGCTTGGTTCTCAGAGATGGGCAGTCAGGGGCCACCGTGTCCACTGCCTGGGCCACATCGTCCCCGGCCACGATGGCCCTGGCCTTGGACGCCTGCAGCCGGTAGAGGATGTCCTTGGCCGTCATCTGGATGGTCCCAGGCATGAAGACCAGGCCTGGGGAGTCAGGAGGCTTAGAGAGAACGGGCGGGGGGGGGATTGAGGGGGGGCAGGGGGAGGATCGTGGGGAGTGGGGGCTGGTGTCCTCCCTTCCCGCAGACACTGAGGGATGGACAGGGGCTCCAGTGGAGGGGAGGGGAGGACCAGGGGCCAGAGAGGGGGTTACACACAGCTTCCCTGGGTTGTCAGAGCTGTGAGAGGGCTAATGTCACACCACAGACAGTCTAAGCCTGATAACCCGCCCTTAGTCCCACACACACCAACAGACACACGTAGACACAGACACACACAGATACACACAGATACACACACCAACAGACACACACACACACACACAGATAAACACACAGACATACAGAGAGACACACATAAACACACACAGATATACACAGACAGACACACACAGACACACACAGACACACACACAGATACACAGAGAGACACACATAAACACACACAGACATACACAGACAGACACACACATAAACACACAGATACACACATACAGACACACACAGACAGACACACAGACACACACAGACAGACAAACTCAGACACACACAGATACATATCGACACACACAGGCACACATTCAGACACAGATACACAGACACACAGAGAGACACATATAAACATACACAGACATACACAGCCACATGTATATAGACACACACACATACACACATACAGACACACACCAACTGACACACACAAACACACAGACACACAGAGACACACACACAAACACACACAGACACACACATATACACATACCAACTGACACACACATAAACACAGAGACACACGCATAAATACAGAGACACACATACAGACACATACATACAGACACACACACACACACACACACACAGACACTCAGACACACAGACAGATCCAGCTCCTCTGCAGTTCCCAGCCTCAGTTCCACTCCTCTGAGCCACCCAGGCCGCTGCAGACCCGCCACTCAGGCTCCTCTGCAAGGGCTGATGGGAAATGCTTAGGCTTTGGGCCAGAGCTCTCCGTCGATGACTCACAGCTGCCCTGTCTCCTGCAGCACAGGCAGGCAGGGACAGCACACACGCCACGCTGTGCTCAGTGAGGCTTCAGTGAGCCAGACCTTTAATGGTTCTTAGGAAAGTCACACGCCGCCTGTCAAAGTGGTGGTGACATGCCGATGCACAGTGGACGGTTTCTGCTCTTTCTCCGACGCCTGCAAGGCCCACGAGCACACGGCTCGTGCGTGGAGAGTTTCCTAAACCAACGGTGCAGGCATCTTCTGGGAGGAGTGGTGGCACTCTTTGCCATTGGTCTCCCTCTGAGAGCCAGTGCCAGCCCAGCGGGGCCCACTACCCACCTGCTCGCATGCAGCCCAGCGTCACCAGCCACCACTCGGGCACCCGGGGCAGCACCACGGCCACGCGGTCCCCACGCTGCAGGCCGCACGCTCCCTCCAGGACGTTGGCCGTCCGCTGGCTGAGCTCCTGCAGCTGGCCGAAGTCCCAGCGCACCTCCTCCCCGCGGCCGCTCACCCACCACAGCGCAGGGCCCGGTGCCCTCCGGCTGGCCTGAGGGGGGGAGGCTGCTGGTGAGGGGCTGGGACGCAGCCTGGGAAAGCTTTCTGATCTCAGGACCCTTACTCTTTAAAAGTATTTTAAAAACCTTTAAGAGTTTTTAGTTCTATGGATTCATCATCTATATTTCAATTAGAATTTATGAAACAGTAAATTCCGTACTGCCTATCAGTTCAGCCGGAATGCAGGAACTGAGAGAAACACAATCGTAAAGCACAAAGTGAAAGTAGCCCCTCCTCACCTCCCCCACTCCCCCCCATCTTTCACAATATTTTCTGTGAAATGGTTTTGCTTCTCAAAGGACAGTTATGAGCACTAGTTGAATTGGTATCTCTGTCCCAGTACTCACTCATAAAAAACTAGAGTCCCTGTGCATGAAATTCATGCAAGAGTTTCACAGCCCAGCCTCGTCCGGAAGGCCATCCAGAAGGACGTCTGGACGGTCATTCTGCTGTTGAGCCGTTCAATTGATTTGCATATCATGCTTTTATTGTTATAGATAAGCTGCCAACACAACTAATGCAGCCAACGAAGCTGGGGCACAGTCAGGGCTTGCGCAGGGTAGTGCCGGGTACTTGCATTGTACACGTTCTCATAGGCCTTCCTTCCCTCACAGCCCGGCTTCCTCTGGAAGGTCGTCCGGAAGGACATCCGGTCTAACTAGCATGTTGTGCTTTTACTATTATAGATAATGAATTTTGATTGTCTTTCCTTATTTAAACATTTTTAACCTAAAAGCTTTGCTGTAATTGTACGTTTGTGTTTCTGATTTTAAAGTCAGAAAACTGGCCCACAGGTGACCGAGGAGGCTGCATCATTGCTAACACGATGCGCATGCCCTCACCGTCCTCACCTTCAAGTCTCAGAGCCCAGGGAAGCCACCCCGGCTGATAAATACCGGAAATACGGCTCACAGTATCATAGCATTCATTCCTATTTCATTATTCCTTGGTGAATGACTTCTCTGTGAATAATACATTTCCATTACTGTTCGTGACTAAAGCACAATACTTATGGAAAACTGGCCATTATTTAAATAGTATCCCTATTTACTTATAATTAAGATTTTGCTCATAGATACAATAGAAAGAACAATTATTCAGGAGTTATAATGTGAAAAAATTATTAGAACTGACTGGCCAGAGTAGCTCAGTGGTTGAGTGTCAATCTATGAACCAAGAAATCACAGTTCGATTCCCGGTCAGGGCCTGGATTGCAGGCTTGATCCCCATTGCGGGGGGCATGCAGGAGGCAGCCCATCAGGGATTCTCTCTCATCATTGAAGTTTCTGTATCTCTTTCTCTCTGAAACCAATAAAAATATACTTTAAAAAATCATTGGGACAAAAAACATTTTTTAAAATAAACTATTATGTTAGAAGTTAAAGATGAGAAAATTTATACATGTATGCTTTTAAAAATCACAGCATGAATTCATTATATATTGCCACAAATAAGATGTGAATTGTCTCTTGTTATACCTCACCCACTTTTATATTGGGTTGTGCCTTTTTATTCTTGATTTCTAGGGTCTCTTTTGTATTAGTAATATTAACTCTTTTGTTTTTATATGCTTTTATTGTTGCATATTTTCCCCTTGGTGGTCACTAACTTTTTTGTTGCCATTAATCCTTACTGGAGGATATTTCCCCATTGATTTTTAGAGAGAGTGAAAGGGAGGGAGGAGAGAGAGAAACTGGGAGACATAGGTATGAGATGGGTTGCCTCCTGAACCAGGCCTGGGATGACCCTGCAATCAGGCATCTGTCCTTGCCTGGGGATTGAACCTGTGGCCTGGGGTGCATGTAGACACTCTAAGCACGGAGCCACACTGGCCAGGGTGTTGTTTAAATGTTGCTCATGCTGTTTGTCAGCAGAGCTGGGTTTTGGTGGCTGTGTAGTGAATTTATTACATCACTTCTTTTGTGACCTCAGGATTCTGAGTCACGATAGTAAAGACCTTCCTTATTATTCCAAGGAGGTATGCATAACTTTTAGAGAAAGGCCAGAAATCTACATTTTTATCAGAAAGCTTTAGATTTCCAAGTGTTGGCCGGATGCCGTGGGAAGCCGGCCCTGCCCTGCGGGCCATGCCGCCCAGTGGCCGGCGTGCACAGCCTCCGCATGAAGATGGTGCTGAGGTCAGGGCCTCAGGGCCGCCTCTGGTGTGGCTCCCTCCGAGGAGTGCCATTTGTGCAGGCCCACTCCTCCCAGGTCCCGGCCCAGAGGACCCTTCATCCTCCGAAGGCGCACAGAGCCCCGGAAGGCAGTGCGGGTCAGCCATGGAGGGGGGAGGGCTAAAAGTCCAGGGTGGAACGGGGAGAGACATGTTCTCATCACTCTTTCTCTGATGCTGATGCCGAAGTCCTTTCGACAATCTGCCTGGTGACTAACCTGCTTGCTTACTCCAAATGGCAGGAACACACAACTTTCTGAGAGCACTGACTCAGTGCGTGGTCGGTGCTGATTCTCTTATTAAACCCAAATCTGCCTCTTGGTGACCCCAGCCCACTAGTCCTGTCTCACCGTCGGATGTCACAACAGAGCATGTGCAGAATGTGTAGGCAAACTGGGTGCCAGTCACCCAAGGACTTACCAGATTGTCCCACCTGCACTAATCCCCTAGGCCCTTCTTTTTGCCAAGCTCTGGCATCTCTTGCTCCCACCAGATGCGGCCTCCATGGGAGACAAACATCATAGCTCATCATGGTACCTGGCACGTAATGTGATCACTATGTATTGAATGTATGGCTAAATTAGTAAACTCAGCCCAATTGTCCATCTGGATCTCTTCTCCTCCCACTCAGTACCTTCTCCATGCTAGCCCAGTAATCCATCACGTCGCTAGCGAAGTTGAATCTGGCAGGGACTTCCTGGTGGCCCCACTGCAGTGATGCCAGCTGCTTGGCATGAATGTGGACAGTGCGACAGGCCATCTGCATCCTCCTTCGGATGCAGATCCCCTGGAGCTTCCGCAGCCAGTGCATGGCCAGACCTGTGAAGGGGTGACAGAGTGAGCCCTTCTTACTAGAGCTGCTCCATTAGGCAACAGCGCTTGTGGAGATCAAGCCCACCTCACGGCTTCTTTCGGAAGTGGATTTGCTGTGGGTGAGTGCATTGGCACTCACGTCCATTTCAGCCGGGCACACCCTTCTCCTCAAGCACAGCACCAGCCAGATCTTACTGCTCTGGCACTGCTGGCAGCTTTGTGGACACTCGGTTCTGTGTAGCAAGCCCCTTAGTGCGTAAAGTACAGGGCTGTGGTGGGCTGATTTTTGTTCCCAACAACTTGCTCCTTCCCTGTACTGGGATTATATGTCCCCATTAATTTTCATATGACTCGCCTAGTGCATTCTGGGGAAGAGTATGTGTCCCCCTCATGCTGACTTTGGCTTGCCCACGGATGTGAGTGGATGTGATTGTGTGGTTGGTCAGGAGCCCTTGAATTTGTTCCCTCTCTCATGAGTGTTGCATACCCCAGGTGGTCTCTACTTTCAGCTTGGATCCCTGAATGATAGCACCTGTAGGCTGAGCTGAGCCCAGCACACCCACAGCCTGCCCAAAGGCCCATGGGAAAAATATGTGTGGTTCCAAGCTCCTGCGATGCTTGGATATTTGTTACTACAGTGAATGCTGATTAATACAAGTGGCATCTATTTCCTTCAACTGAACCTAGCACATAGCACCTGGCACACAGTATCACTTTAGAAATTATAACTGCTGTCACTGTTGTTCCATATGGGCTTCAGGGACAGTGGCTCAAGGCTGCGTAGGCTGGAGTTCCAACATGTGCACCCTGGTGGAGGCTGCGGAATTTAAGTCTAATGACCTTTGCTTTAAGAAATCAAGCCAGGAGTCCCACCGGCTGTCTGGTTTCCCATTCCCCTCTGTCTTTCCAGCAGAGGGGAATGGGAAACTCTCAGAATGCTCAAACTCTCAGACACTATGCCTCCTCTTTGATCTTCCAAAAGAACAGAAGTGAGATTGCCTGACCAACCTGCGGGTCTTACCCTATTTCCTTAGCTGCCTCTTTTGCATTCTTCAGGTCTCACCTCCTCAGAAGACCTCCATTCTTGACCACCACTCAATCCCCGTTCTCATCTGACTGCCTTTCTTCCAGCCACGCCACCCTCTCCCTTTGCCATGCAAGACACCGACTCCTCTGCCCATTGCTGCTTCATCGCTAAGACCTGGCAGATACTCCCTTTCACCAACCCTATGGAGTGCAGACTGTGTTTTCACAGTCCTGGATAGCTCTGGCTTCTAAAGACTTGTTAGTGCTATTAAGAGACATGATCCGCCGAGACCAGTTTGGCTCAATGGATAGAGTGTTGGCTTGGGGACTGAAAGGTCCCGGGTTCGATTCCGGTCAAGGGCATGTACCTTGGTTGCAGGCACATCCCTGGTAGGGGGTGTGCAGGAGGCAGCTGATCGATGTTTTTAACTCTCTATCCCTCTCTCTTCCTCTCTGTAAAAATCAATAAAAAAGAAAAAGAAAAAAAAGAAGAGACATGATCCCATCAGTCCATTCCCTGCAACAGCGCTCACCTGCCAAGTCCTTTGAGGAAGTTTCTCTGGGGATCTCTTGTTCCACCCTCCTCCTGAGCAGACGGCTCCAGATTCCCTGTAACTTTGGAGGAGAGCACAGCTCACCCAGCAGATAGCTCAAGAGACCTGGGAAGTGTCGTGGAGAGCAAGCTAATCGTTAACTGTGGACAGTCCCAAGCCTTACTTTTGGCAATGTCAATCTTTGTAATCATTATTCAGAACTCCGTATCTGGTAAATTTCTAACTTCCACTTCAGTTGGCCCTTCTTCTGGAGGATTCTCTTATTTGTTCATTTGGGGCTTGTTTTTGGTCTCCCCATTTGGCTGCCTGTTTGGGTTTGTGTCTATGTATAAGGTGGATCTGCTATAACTCCAAGTTTCTGGTGCAGGACAATGTCAGACTCTGTTTGTGACTGGCCCTGAGTAATGTTTAGAGCTATCAGAAATCCACAGCTTGTGGCTCCCTTAGCTGGGGCTGGGTGCCTTTGGAAAGAACCAGGATGTACAGCAAGATTTGCTTTTCCTAGCCCCAGGCTCAGAAAGAGATCAGGCAGAGACTCAAAGTCTCCAGAGATCTGCCTCATGGAATTTTGTGTGTTTGCCCTTTAAATAGGGTGCCTGCATTTCCAACCATCTCTCCCTGGCTGATAGCAACCCTGCTGCTTTTCACAGCCAGATTTTATATGAGTACTCTTCTCAGTTCCGGTGCTCTGGGTAAGGGACTCAGTTTGGGATTTAGACCCCAGAGTTATCAATGGGAATCCCACACAGCTGAGATATCTCTCCTGAACTTCAGCTGCTACCTGCAGGAACCTGGCCAGCTTGTTACACCTCCGCCCTTCCTACCCTTCTCTATGTGTCTCCACTTTCTGTCCTTGGTTATCAGGGTTCTCACCAGCTACTCCAGTTGATTATTAAGGATAATGTGTATGTGTTTTAGCTGTAATTCCAGTTTGATCCTGGGAGAGTGTCCATGAAGTTTATACTTACTCTACCACCATTTTGGAACTCCTGTTCTTTTTGAAGCATCTGTGAATGGGGTTGTTTTCTTAGTTTGTCTACTTATAGTTCATTATTTATATATATAAGAGCATAAACAACTGGTTGACACACCAACTGGATGACTGGCTGGTAGCTATGACATGCACTGACTACTAGGGGGAAGGTGCTCAATACATTCCACTTGATCATAGTGTATGATCTTTTTTTATATATTATTATCAGATTGCTAATATTTGTTGAGTATGTTTGCATTTATGTTCATCAAGGATATTGGCCTATTATTTTCTCTCTCTTTTTTTTGTAGTGTCTTTATTAGGTTTTGGAATTAGGATAAAATGAACTTGGGAGTTTTCCCTCCTCTAGAAATTTTTGGAATATTTTGAGAAAGATAGATGTTAGTTCTTCTTTAAATGTTTGATAAAAATCACCTGTAAAGCCAGCCAGTCAAGAGCTTTTGTTTATTAAAAGTTTTTAATTTTTTTATTAATGCTTCATTTTCACTAGCTATAATCTGTGTATTCAGATTATCTGATTCAGTTTTGGAAATTGTATGTTTCTAGGAATTTATTCATTTCATCAAGATTATGTAATTTATTGGCATATAGTTCTTTGTAATATTTTCTTATAATCCTCTGTATGAAATAGCCTGCACATTTCAAAATGTTGTCACCAAGTTATGTAAACTCACATCTCTGTAAACAACCTTCAAGAAAACAACCTTTTAAAAGTAATTAAAAAACATTCTGCTTACTAAAAAAATGAAGTAATTATTGATAGATGCAGTTATTGACATTTTACTATTCATATTTTGATCTTTTTTGTCCTTCTTCTTAAATAAGTCCTTTTAACACTTCTCGTAATATGGTTTGGTGGTAATAAACTGCTTCAGCTTTCTCTTGTCTGAGGAGTTCTTTATTTCACCTTTAACTTTAAATGACACCCTTAGTGGTTAGAGTAATCTTAGTTGCTTTTCATTACTTTGAGTATTTCTTGGAAAATACTGCTGGTCTTCAAAAATTTCTGTTGAGAAATCAGCTGACAGTCATATGGGAGCTCCTTTGTAAATAAATAACTGCTTTTCTCTTGCTGTTTTTTAGACTCTCCTTTAGTCTTTAACCTTTGGCATATTATGAAGTGTCTTGGTGTGGGCCTCTTTGGTTTCATTTTGTTTGGGACTTTTTGTGCTTTTTGGACTTGAGTATCTTTTTCCTTCACCAGGTTTAGGGAGTTTTCAGTCATTATTTCTTTTCTTTTTCTTTTTTAAATATATATTTTATTGATTTTTTACAGAGAGGAAGAGAGAGGGATAGAGAGTTAGAAACATCTATGAGAGAGAATCACTGATCAGCTACCTCTTGCACACCCCCTACTGGGGATGTGCCCACAACCAAGGTACAAGCCCTTCACCGGAATTGAACCTGGGACCTTTCAGTGAGCCAAACCAGTTTTGGCAGTCATTATTTTTTAAAATAGGTTCTCAATTTCTTGCTCTCTCCCTCCCCCATCTGGTATCCCTATGATACAAATCTTGCTATGCTTAATGTTGCAAAAACTTCTTAAAATATCTTCATTTTTCTAGATTTTTAAAAATTTTGCTGCTCTGATTGGCTGTTTTTTACTACCTTGTTTTATAAATTGTTCAAGCGACCCTCTGTTCATCTAGTCTACTGTTGATTCCTTCTAGTGTATTCTTAATTTCAGTTCTTACATTCCTCATTTCTCTTTTTTATATATAATTTTTTAATGTTTTTCTTTGTGCTGGTGAAGTTCTGACAGAGTTCCTTGAGATCATTATAACCATTGTTTTGATTTCTGTATCTGGTTGTCTGCTTGCCTTCATTTCGTTCATTTAGTTCTTTTTCTAATGATTTATCCTGTTCTCCCATTTGGGACTTTTTTTGTCTTCCCATTTCATGTGCCTCCCTGTGTTTGATTCTGTGTATTAGGTTGATTTGCCATGTTCCCATCTTAGCAGAATGACCTTGTGTAATAGGTATCCTATACCTATAGGAACCAATGGTGCAGCTCCCCCAGTCACCCAAGATGCACCCTTTGTTGCAGTTAAGTCTTGATTGCTATTGGCATATCAATGGAAGGGATTGACTCGCAGGTCAATTGGCAAAAATAACCAGCTGCAGCCGCAGAAGCTGGGCCAAACTCACAGAGCAGGACTCACTTTAGCAGGTCTCTGGTGCCAACTGAGTCTGCTCCTTCAGTGTGTTAGTCATGGAGGTGGTTTGGTGGTGTCCAGTGTGGTATGAAGCTGTTCACCATGTGCACACTGGCTCTGTTGCCTGTGTGGGAGGTTTAGGCCAAAGTCAGCTGCTGACTGTGCCATGCCTCAGCCACTCAGAATGAGTACAAAATAGTCTTCTGATGGCTACTAGTTGTGTTGGGCTTGGAAGTGCCAATGAGAGGCCAAGCTGCAAACTGAGCCCAACTCTCACTAGTGCAGAGCCTACACCACTTAGCAAGAGGTACAGAGCACATAACAGCCAGATGATGTCTGTTTTGAATTTGTGAACCTTTGAGAGATTTAAGGAAAGTTTAAAGAATAAGCCCAGACTGGCCATTTGTATGAAAATGCCGTTGGAAATAGCTTGGGTGGGCCCACAAGTTGGGTTGGTTGTGGTCTAATAAATCAATTGCCCCACCATGTTGGAAAAACCTCTGGCTCCACCCTGTGGAATCCATACCTTGCTGTGATCTATAGCCTGAGGTGCATTAAGACTCAGAGAATAATTATCAGACTACAGGCAGAGGCAGATCTCTGGAGACTTTGAGTCTCTGCCTGATCTCTTTCTGAGCCTGGGGCTAGGAAAAGCAAACCTTGCTGTACATCCTGGTCCTTTCTAAAGGCACCCAGCCCCAGCTAAGGGAGCCACAAGCTGTGGATTTCTGATAGCTCCAAACAGTACTCAGGGCCAGTCACAAACAGAGTCTGACATTGTCCTGCACCAGAAACTTGGAGTTATAGCAGATCCACCTTATACATAGACACAAACCCAAACAGGCAGCCAAATGGGGAGACCAAAAAACAGGCCCCAAATGAACAAACAAGAGAATCCTCCAGAAGAAGGGCCAACTGAAGTGGAAGTTAGAAATTACCAGATATGGAGTTCTTTTTTTTTCTTTTTCCTTTGAATAGTCTTTTTTTTTTTTTTTTAATCAATCTTTATTGTTCATATTGTTACAAAGGTTCCTCATTTCTTCCCCCCTCCACCAGGTTCCCACCCCACCCTCCTCCCCCTTCTAATCCCCCATTGTCCTCATTTATAGGTGCAGTTTATGTTCAGTCTCTTCCTCCCTCCCTTTCCCTGATAGTAAATCCCTTTTCAGATAGTAAATCAGTTACTTAGCATTTTCTCATATCAATAATACCACCACATTTCACACAAAAGACATTTCCAAATAGGTCAACCAGCCTCATCCAGGCCCCACCCAAGGCACTCACAGATCAACACCCCAGCCCTATACTAACTCAACACATCCAGATCTAAGCCTTCATCACTTGATTCAGCAGACCCTCAAGTTCCCACAAAAGTTTCCAGCCATGTCTGAGAGGCAGCCGTGGGGCAGGGGCAGGTGAGAAGCGAGCTGTTCCGGGCCTGGCTGCTCCAGGCCTGGCCTCTGTTGCTCTGGGTCTGGTCACCACCGCTCTCGACCTAGTTGGTCTGGACCTGGCTGCTGCTGCCCCGGGCCTGGCCACTCCCAGCCTGGCAGCCACTGCTCCGGGCCTGGCCACACCAGACCCGGCTGCTCCGGGCCCTGCTGCTCCGGGCCTGGCCGCTCCCAGCCTGGCAGCCGCTGCTCTGAGCCTGGCCGCTCCCAGCCTGGCAGCCGCTGCTCCGGGCCTGGCCACACCAGACCCGGCTGCTCCAGGCCTGGCTGCTCCCAGCCTGGCAGCCGCTGCTCTGAGCCTGGCCGCTCCCAGCCTGGCAACTGCTGCTTTGGGCCTGGCCGCACCAGACCCGGCTGCTCCAGGCCTGGCCGCTCCCAGCCTGGCAGCCGCTGCTTCGGGCCTGGCCGCACCAGACCCGGCTGCTCCGGGCCCGGCTGCTCCGAGTCTGGCCGCTCCCAGCCTGGATGATCCGGGCTTGGCTACTGCTGTTCTGGACCTGGCTGCTCCCAACCCGGCTGCTCTGGGCCC